ATATGAAGTAATCTTTCCTATTTCTTAAATCAGGGGTGTCGAACTGGCAGCCCGCGGGCCAGATGGGTCATGCGCTAGCCACGCTCACCCCTGGTTTAACAAAGAGGAAAAAAGTCACAATACGTCACATGATGATGTGACGACGTGAGTGTCAACTCACAAAGCATCCCTGGCCTGCTTTCGAGTTGCCATAGGCAAGGGGGATGGGAAAAACCAATGAAGCAGCATGGCAGGCAAATACAAAAGCACATTCCAGACATATCTCTCTCAAGGCTGTCTCGCAGGGTTACCCACAGCGGCCAGAGGGGAGTGATATCTACAACCCGTGAAATTGCTCTGTTGGCAAATGTGATTGATGACACACCATGGGGGGAATGGGGAAACAGGGTCATGACTGGGGGCATAAATTACGTGGGGTCGGAGTTGGCTTCACTTGGAACGTGCCGACATGAAGCTCCTAATAAATAACTGGATTTCTTTTGAAGCTTGGCTCAAGGCTCATGATTTAATTAGGGCATCTGTCGGAACCCTGACAGAACAGTTTGACACCCCTGTCTTAAAACCTTTTACAGGTAGTGCTCCACTTACAACTATCCATTTAGCAACCAAAGTTACAACAGCACTGAAAAAAGTAACTTCTGACCACTGCAGCATTCCCACGGTTGTGTTTAAAATTGGGTGCTTGGCAACCTGTATGTATTTACAACAGTTGCAGCATTTCCAGGGTCCTATGATCCCCATTTAGCCTCTTCCCAGCTGGTTTCCGACAAGCAAAGTCATCGAGGGGAAGCCAGACTCACTTAACGACTGCATGATTCACTTCACAACTGCAGTGTTTCCCATGATAAAAATGATCATAAAACAGGGGGAAAACTCACAACCCACCTTACTTAGCGATGGAAATCCTGATCCTAATTGTGGTCATAAGTTGAGGACTGCCTGTACTGACGATGTTAAATCTGCGCTTCTCCGCTCCACTCCCACCCCCGTTTCCAATGAAAGTTGCATTCAAGGAGCTTGTCCTTGAGCCCTTTGAGCTGATTCCAAACCAGCTCCAGATCCGACCAATCATGCAAGCAGTTTATGAGAAAGGAAATCAAAGCTGATGCTTCCTTGTTGGAAGAAATATCCTTCTGGGTTCAGTTCCAAGTGGGGAAAAAGACACTGGATTCATGGAAGTTGCTTGGAAAGAAGGTTTATTGATGAGCAGGATCACATGGCTTGAAATCCTGGGCAGAAAAAGGGCCGAGATGTTGAGAGTGCTTGGGCTTTATGCCCTATGTTGGGTTTTGAATTTGAGCTTGTGTTCTGATTGGTTGTCAGACTCCCATGGGGCCAAGCAGGAGTAACTTTGTAGGTTGTCTTTTGAATCCCAGCTTGGTTGACTCTTGCTGGGTGATGATGTAATGGAAGGGCTTTGAGCAATTCCTACAATGGCTCTGCCTGAAGGAGGTAGATCTTTGTTATGCAGAATAGACTAGCCCAGGCCTTAATGGCACATTGACAAAGGTGTGGGGGGGTGAGTTTCTGCCTCACTTTTAGGGGAAATATTCTGCCCTTTTAATATTTCCTAAAATATCTCATTTTCCTAGGAGAGGGGTAGGTGCTAACTTCCTACATCCTTTCAGGGCTGCAGAGCACTAGTGGAATCTCTGGCTTCTCCTCTCCACCAGCTCCTGAGCTTCTAGAACGGTCAATATTCTCGCATTTCCCCTCGCATCCTGGACATAAACTGTTTCAACTCCTACCCTCAAAACGATGCTATAGAGCACTGCACACCAGAACAATTAGACACAAGAACCATTTTTCCCCAAATGCCAACACCCTGCTAAACAAATAATTCCCTCAACACTGTCAAACTATTCACTAAGTCTGCATTACTATTAATCTTCTCATTGCTCCCACCACCCATCTCCTTCCACTTATGACTGTATGACTGTAATTTTATCCTTACGATTCATATTGATATTGTTTCCTGATTGCTTATTTGTACCCTATGACTATCATTAAGTGTTGTACCTTATGATTCTTGACGAGCGTATCTTGTCTTTTCATGTACACTGAGAGCATATGCACCAAAGACAAATTCCTTGTGTGTCCAATCACACTTAGCCAATAAAAAATTCTATTCTATTCTATTCTATTCTATTCTATTCTATTCTATTCTATTCTATTCTATTCTACTCTACTCTACTCTACTCTACTCTACTCTACTCTACTCTACTCTACTCTACTCTACTCTACTCTATTCTATTCTATTCTATTCTATTCTATTCTATTCGGGCCTGGAAGCTCACAGAGAGATTTTTTTTTATCTTTAACAAGGAATGAGGGGAAGGCAACTCTGATGTTTTCCTGGAATGACTTGCTTCTTTCATTAATTTTCACCCTCTCACGGATCAGTTGGAGGAAGTACTGAGGACCTCATGGTGATATCTCCCTTTTTTTCTGTGGGACTTCAGCAGAACTGAAGACAACGGAGGGTCAGTTTCAAACTATCTTGGAGAGATCGAGTAGTGGAAGCAGCTGCATGTGAAAACGCTGTCAGTTGTCTTTTTTTTTTTCATATTCAGGTCACAGAAACTCACTCATTGAAATAGGAGAGCACACACTGAAGATACTATTCATAATGTTTTGCAGAATGACAAGTAAGGGTGATTATTCAGCTCCATAATATTTTATTCCTGAAGGGGACATTTGTATTTGCTGCTCCAGACATAAAACAACAACAACAAGAAGTTGAAACAACACCATTACCACCACATAGGTATCAGATGCATAAAACAACATGGAGTTCATTATTATGTACCTCTTGCAAAAACAGCCGAGCGCTATCAAATAAGTAAACTGGCAGCAGTACAAAAGAGCAACTGTAAATTTATGAGGCTCACCCAGCATCTGAGTTCGAGCAAGCAATGCTTTGTTACATAAATCTTGATAAAGAAAGTAAGAGATTTGGGATGCCTGGAGGAAAGATGGAAAGGCATAAACAGGATTGTGAGATGGCCAAAACCCAGAGGACTGCACAATTAGTTGCTCAACCTCCAGGAATATTTCATTTTCATTTCAATTTCCCTGACCTTTCCCTCCAAGCACCAAGAAGCCATTTCTGAAATGCATAAGAGCTTCTTCTGAAATCAGTTTAAATAGTATGGATATCTGTTTAAAAAAAAGAGAGAGAATAGAATTCTTTATTGGCCAAGTGTGATTGGACACACAAGGAATTTGTCTTTGGTGCATGTGCTCTCAGTGTACGTAAAAAGAAAAGGGAAAAATACATTCATCAAGAATCATAAGATATAACAGTGATAGTCATAGGTTACTAAATAAGCAATCAAATCATACTAGGAAACAAACAAACAATATAAATCATAGAGATATAAGAAACAAGGTTATAGTCATAAGTGGGAGGAGATAGGTAATAGGAAGAATGAGAAGAACAATAGTAATACAGCAGAGGTGGGTTTCCGCAGGTTCTGACCAGTTCTGGAGAACTGGTAGTGGAAATTTTGAGTAGTTCGGAGAACTGGTAAATACCACCTCTGACTGGCTCCACCCCCATATATTCTCTGTCTCCCAAGTCCCAGCTGATTGGGATGAAATGGGGATTTTGCAGTAACCTTCCCCTGGAGTGGGGAGGAAATGGAGATTTTACAGTATGTTTCCCCTGCCACGCCCACCAAGCCATGCCACGCCCACCAAGCCACGCCCACAGAACAGGTAGTAAATAATGTTGCCAGATGTCCACTATTTGAGCGGACAGTCTGCTTTTTTCACATTATGTTCACTATTTTTTTTCACAAAATAGTGGACTTTTTTTTATTCAAAAGCTTTATGATGAAATTAAAATGTAATTTAATATTTTACATATTATTATAATATATTTGATGTTTTGAATTTTAAGTAAAGTTTTGAAGTGATTATTTTAATACGTGTTAAAATGTTCGTAAGAAAATATATAATTTAATTGTAATTTTCTTTTTTTTTACTACTTAAACCCCCCCCCCACCCCCGCTTGTCCGCTATTTTTTGGAAGCAGACCTGGCAACCCTAGTACTAGTAAAAAAATTTGAAACCCACCACTGTAATACAGTCTTAGTAAATAGTTTGACAAATGTTGTGGGAATTAGTTGTTTAGCAGAGTGATGGCATTCGGGAAAAAACTGTTCTTGTGTCTAGTTGTTCTGCTGTGCAGTGCCCTATAGTGTCATTTTGAGAGTAGAAGTTGAAATAATTTATGTCCAGGATGTGAGGGGTCTGTAGATATTTTCACAGCTCTCTTTTTGACTCGTGCAGTATACAGGTCCTCAATGGAAGGCAGGTTGGTAGCAACTGTTTTTTTCTGCAGTTCTAATTATCCTCTGAAGTCTGTGTCTGTCTTGTTGGATTGCAGAGCCAAACCAGACAGTTATGGAGGAGCAGCTGACAGACTCAATAATTCCTCTGTAGAATCAGCAGCTCCTTGGGCAGTTTGAGCTTTCTGAGTGGCGCAGAAAGAACATTCTCTGTTGTGCTTTTTTGATGACATTTTTGATGTTAGGTGTCCATTTTAAGTCTTGAGATATGATAGAATCTAGAAACTTGAAGGTCTCTACTGTTGATATTGTGTTGTCTAGTATGAGGTGATAGAACAGGAGAGTTTCTCCTAAAATTTACCACCATTTCTACGGTTTTTGAGTGTGTTTAGTTCAAGATTGTTCCGGTTGCACCACAAGGTTACACCACAAGGAAAGAAAGGAAAATGGGAAAAGGAAAAATGGGAAATGGGAAATTGGAAAAAAAATGGGAAAAGGAAAGGAAAAATGGGAAAAGGAAAAATGGGAAATGGGAAAAAAGGAAAATGGGAAAAGGAAAAATGGGAAATGGGAAAAAAGGAAAATGGGGAAAAGAAAGAAAAAGGGGGGGGGGGAGTTATTGCACCCTCTTAGCTCACTTTTCTTGGGATCCCTGATGTTAAAAGTAATTAGCTCAACTTATGCATTTTTGCTTTTATTTTTTAGTGTCCAGACTGGTCATGTAAGCAAGACTTACTTGCTTACCTGGAACAAATCAAACTCTACTCCCACCAACTCAAAATCTGCAGCCAAGTCAAAGCTGAAATCCAGAACTTAGGTGGAGAGCTCATCATGTCAGCAGTAAGTGAAAACTGTCCTCAATGTATTACATGATTCTGTTCTCTTCCAGGTACAACCTGGACCCTGGTTGTTGTTGTTAGTTGCGAAGTCATGTCTGACCCATCACGACCCCATGGACAACGTTCCTCCAGGCCTTCCTGTCCTCTACCATCCCCCAAAGTCCATTTAAGCTCACGCCGACTGCTTCAGTGACTCCATCCAGCCACCTCATTCTCTGCCGTCCCCTTCTTCTTTTGCCCTCAATCATTCCCAGCATTAGGCTCTTCTCCAGTGAGTCAATGGGTCTCTGAAATGAAATATAAGCCTCTTGTGGGTGAACCAGTTTAAATCCTGCCAGAACAAGTTCATCGTGGGTATGAATGCTAGGGTTTTAATATAGTTGTAAATTGTCACATATTTATTATTCATTTTCACATTTCCATTCACAAAAAAAATTGAAGTTACATTTCTATCATCCTGGCACGATTGAAGAATTATATGATTAACTATGGAAATAAAGGGATTTGCAAGGCTGCTCTGTATAATATAAAAATGTAGGTCCCTATTTTCTGATTTTGCCTTCTTTACATAAATTATAATACTAATAAGTGGTCTTGTAACAAGAAGCTGATATATATATATATATTATCCCTGTTCAGATCTGTTTTTGTTTTTTTTAATTATTCTGGGCTATTTCATTCAGGTCTGTTTACCCTCCCAATTTCTATTTCCCCCCATAGCTACTATCATTACCTGCTGTTATGGGTTATAAAAGATTTTTGCACTTTTGCAAACCTTTTATCTCCCATAAGTTTACAGCTACCTTTCTTTTCAGCTATATGATGAACTACAATGATGAACTAAATATTTACATTTTTAAAAAGAGACAGGTATTAGCATTCATTCATTCATTCATTCATTCATTCAATCAATCAATCATTCATTCATTCATTCATTCACTTTCAGTAGCTGCCTATCTCAGTCAATAACTCAGAATGGCTTACAATTCAAAAAAAAAAATATTACAGTTAAAAATACTAAAACATTTTAAAACACTAAAAACATCCAGATGAAATATACAAGATACTTGACCAGTTAATACAGCCAGAAAATGAGGCCCTTGATACATTCAGCACCCCAGGCACTATTTTTTAGGAGCTGATGAAAGGCTAACAGGGTTAGGGCCATTCTAATCTCCAAAAGTAGGATGTTCCATAGAAGAGGGGCCAGTGTGGAAAAAAACTCACCTTCTGGTCCCCTCCAACTGACAGTCTTTAATGCCATGCAAATTCTGCTCAGACTAGTTGGACCAGTAGGGACGGGTAGTATAAGGAACAGACACTCTAATGTTCTACATATGTTGTGGATTTCGGCTCCTGTCCATCCTTGCAATATCTGGTTGGACTGTCTGTTCTGTTTCTGATAATATAGGGACCCTAACTAGTGGTGGGCGGTAACCGGTTTAACAACTGGTTTGGTGAGCGTGTGCTTTGCGCATGTACCTAACGCATTTGTGCGCAGCGTTCAAAGTACAGCAGTTTGAAGCTCAGCTGCTTACCTTCTAAGGCAGCCCTGATATGTAGAACAGCAGAGGCGCAGAAATCAGCTGTGCTGTGTGAATCAGCTGAGCCAGAAAGAAGGAAATATAGGACACGATAGGGCGGGTGCGGGTGAGCAGGGCCAGCTGATTATCAGAACTACTGGTTTACTCGAACCGGTCCAAACCAGCAGCAGCCCACCACAGAATCTAACTATAAAATGTGCATGTAAACTAGCTTGAGTTGTAATGGCCTAGACCCATGATGGCAAACCTATGGCATGTGTGCCAGAGGTGGCACGCAGCGCCCCCTCTGATGACACGTGAGCCATCACCCCATTTCAACTCTGCTGCGCATGTGCGCAACCTCCCGCCAGTCAGCTGGTCTTTGGGGCTCTGCTGCACATTCAGTGAGAGGGGTGCATGCGGGTGGCCCCATGTGCCCATGCACGGGGGGCAGGGTGTGTGCACAGGGGTTGCACGTGCATGCACAGAGGTGTGGGGGGTGCACACATCCATGTGGAGGTGCATGCAGGGGGCCGTGCACACATGCGCGGTGGGGTGCATGCACAGAGGCAATGCATGCATTGCACTTTGGGGGTTCAGGCACGCACGCTTTGGGCACTAGGTCCAGAAAAGGTTAGCCATCACTGGTCTAGACCAGTGCTTCTCAACCTTGGCAACTTGACGATGTATGGACTTCCACTCCCATAATTCCCCAGTCAGCTATTGTGCCAAGCTCAAAAGTTGTGTCGATCCAAAAGAACCCCAGGTGAGTATAAGGGATAATGGGACTCCTAAAATACATTTTATGGAACCACAGTGTTCTCTGACTAGTTCTGAGATTCAAGTGTTGTGTCTCTGTGTTGATCCATTGAGGTATGTATCTGTCAGGGAAGGAACGATGATGGCAGCTCTATGATCAAACACAAAAATTAAAACACACACACAAAGACAGCGAGCATTAAGAAAAATGGTGCTGAAGGTTCTAGTGTCTTTTCCTTCAGATTGCCTTTTCTCTCTTATGCGCTTTCATTGACAGATGAACAAAAATACATGACATACCCTTGTGAAAGTACATATTCAACACTCACGCAGCTAAGATCAAGGATCAAATACTAAAACAGACTGAAAAGGCTGAATATTACATCACCTCTAAAGCTGTGTCCGCATTACATTTTTAATTCGGTCAGTTCAAGATCTAGTACTGTGATGGCGAACTTTTTTATTTTATTTATTTTAATTTGATTTTATATGCCGCCCTTCTCCGGAGACTCAGGGCGGCTTACAATGCGTTAAGCAATAGCCTTCATACTTTTTGTATATTTTATACAAAGTCAGCTTATTGCCCCCACAATCTGGGTCCTCATTTTACCTACCTTAGAAAGGATGGAAGGCTGAGTCAACCTTGAGCCTTGGAGAGATTCGAACCAGCAGTAATTGCAGGCACCTGTGTTAATAACAGGGTGCTTAGACCACTGTACCATCAAGGAACTTATGGCACGCATGCCAGAGGTGGCATGCAATGCCCTCTCTGATGGCATGTGAGCCGTCATCCACATTTCAGCTCCGCTGTGCATGCGTGTACGTCTCCTACTGGCCAGCTGGTCTTTGGGTCTCTGCCGTGCAAGCGCAGGGGCAGGGCGTGTAGGGGCCGTGTGCGTATGCATGGGGGGCAGGGCACATGCACGGGGCACACGCATGGGGTGCGCTCATGCATGAGTGCAGGGCAGGTGTGGGGTGTGCACATGCACGGGGTGCATGCATGCAGGGGCCATGTGCACATTGCATTTTGGGGGTATGGGCGTGCGCTCTTTGGGCACTCTGTCCAGAAAAGGTTAGCCATCACTGATCTAGTAGATATATTTCTAGCACATTACAAAGTTGAATTAGCTTTGGCTAGCTTTTTTTTAATATCATACTTCATCATGTGGTGCAAACCCAGCTCATTTGATTAATTCGACATATTTTGTAAACCCAGGAAAAAGAAATACATTTACCTACTATATCAGGGCGAAATGGCTAGTATACAATCCTCTCTTTGTTCGTACAAAACCTCCTCTTTGTCAAATGCACTGCAGATTTTCCTGGAAAGCAGGAAAAAAAAAACAGTATTTGTCTTCGCTGCCAATGTGCAAAATTGGTCTTACAGCCTGGACCAAATCAACTGACCTCCTCTCCTTTCGCCGCGAACTGAAGACACGGCTCTTCCGTCAAATAACTTGACCTGCTAGGGGTTGCACAAACTGTAATAATTTTAAATATGGTTTTTAAGGGGTTTTTAACTTATTTTGTTATTTTGTGATTTGTATTATTGATTGTTGTTGTAAGCCGCCCTGAATCCTTCGGGAGAATGGCGGCATATAAATCGCAAAAATAAATAAATAAATAAATAAATAAATAAATAAATAAATAAATAAATAAATAAATAAATAGATTACATCCTGTGCATCAGAAGATCTTAGAACTGAAGGTTTTATTTTTTATTTATTTTATTAGTCATATTTCTATGCCGCCCACCCTCCGAGGACTCTGGGCGGCTTACACCAAAGACAGTATACTAAATAGCATATTGCCCCCTAACAATCTGGGTCCTCATTTTACCCACCTCGGAAGAATAGAAGGCTGAGTCAACTTGAGACGGTGAGATTTGATCCGCTGATCTGCTGAACTAGCAGTCAGCTGAAGTAGCTGCAGTACTGCACTCTAACCACTGCGCCACCTCGGCTCTTCAGGTTAAGTGAGAAGCTGAGAAAAAATTTCAAAAGAGAGTGGTGTCAAAATTCTTCCATTGTTGCTGCCAGGAGCAGTGCATGGGTGTGACATATCACAGTCACTGGGAGCCGAGATATCTTGAAGAGGATATTTTTCCCCCCTTCTATTAAATGTTAAAAGAGACCAAAGAATATGCCTTTATTTCAATATTAATTTTAGTTTCCTTTTTTGAAAAAAGAAATAATAATATGCATGGCTTCTTTTTGTTAAAAGAAATATTGCTTGGTTTCCTTTGATCTTTGGAAGCTAGCACCGTCTGCCAGCACAGTTATGCCTCAGATCTGGCTGATTTATGGCACAGCAAAGTATAGGATCAGAATAGAAGAACAAAACCGTGATACTCAAATTTAATTAAAATTTTTAAGACGTATGATCCTATCTTGATTTTTATTTGAAGTGACGTTGTTGTATAATTGGTGGCTTCTATTTGGCAATTGCTCAGCACCTGACTGGCTAGATGACTCAGTGGCTAAGACACTGAGCTTGTCGATCAGAAAGGTCGGCAATTCGGTGGTTCGAATCCCTAGTATAGGTCTCCTGCATGAGCCACGGGGTTGGACTAGATGACCTCCAAGGTCCCTTCCAACTATGTTACTGTTGACTTTCTCAATTCTTGAGAGAAAAAAGCAGAGCAGCTAGACTGGGAAATAAATATATAATCAATCAATCAATCGATCAATCACATACCCTTGCAGTAGAAGGCAATACC